AGAGAGGCAAATCTTCTTTTCTTCGCCCAAATACAGCTGTATAGACTGTATTGTTTTTGTTTACAGAGATAATTGGAAAGACATTTTTCATTTAGTTATCGCTAGCGTCTGCATTCGTAGAACTTTACCATATTTGATCAATCAATCGTTTCCATTCATTATAATCGTAAAAACAATAAACCATAAATAAAACTAAAAACAACTGCAATAAATTCATACATATATAAAATATGAACAAAACAATTGCAAAATATATTCTTTAAGAAGATATAAAAATAAAAAAAAATTTAAAAAAAATAAAAAAGCACTGAAAAGAAACGATGGAAGCAAATCGAAAGCAATATTGGCAAAATAAGAAACAAAAAACCTAAACATGAATCATAAGAAGACTAACTGACTGATTGACTGGCTGAGTGAGGTCTGTGAAACTTTTAGAATTTACATATATTTACATACATACGCATAGACAATAGATTTCATACGGTGTTGTTTGCCGCTTTCTCAAAACAAGAAAAAAAAAAAAAAAAACAAAAAACAAGAATAAAGAAAAAAGAGAATAAAAATAAAATTAAGGAAAAAAAAAAAATTAAATAAATATTCGAATAATTTATGCAGTAGTGTCGACTAGAAACGATAATAAATGCTTGGCCGCCTAAAAATTACGATATGCACGTTTCACTGCGTAGAGAAGCGAATCTAAATATTTAGTCATAATCATAAGTCGCGCTAATTAATGGGATTTTTATCGGAAATCGCCTGTCGATTGTGTAATAAAAGTGAATTTAATTTTTTATTTTGTTTTTTATTTTCTATTAACTTTATGTTTATTCAAACCTATTGCGAAACTTTGAAAATCTTTCGAAAAAGCCTAAACAATACGAATATACGAACGATGAATAATTATGCGGATAAAAGTAAGGAACTGTTTTTCACTTGAATAAGTTACTCTATAAAAATTAATAAATCCTTGTCGTTTTTTTTCATATCTGCTTTGTTTTGAAATTTTTTCATAAAAGTTTACTTACATGTCCTTCTTTTCTTATCTTATCGTTTCAGTGCAACGTGGAGTATTTAAAATGTATGTACAAACATTTAAAATTGTTTTCACTAAAAAATCAGTTGTAATTAAGTTTTCGGATATACGCGCTTATAAATTGCTTAAGGGCGGAGACTGCTAAAATGTGTTAACTTTCCATATAAATATAACAAAAAAAAAAAAAAAAAAAAATCAGAGATTAAGTGCAAATTCGCTAAGCTTACCCTCTCTTCAAGAATATTATAAAATATATGCATATATACAAATGTATTGTATATATGTATATATGTTATATATGTTTTTATATCCATCACCGAAGGATGAGCAGAATATTCATTTTGCCAAAACGTTTGTAAGAGCTGGAAGGAAGCTTTAGAGGCACCACAAAGTACATATAAATCGATTTAAGCATGTCCGTCTATCCGTCTGTGCAATCTCTGTTGTAAACATTGTTCTGGCCGCAAAAATGAAGCTATCGACAAAATCAGCTTGCGCCCACTTCATATTATAAAGCATGAAAATTGAATGCTTTTACTTCTCTTGCCCGTTTTAGAATAACGGCGATGGGTATAAAGGATTCGGTCCATACGGAATTTAATTTTTTTAATTGTTTTCATTTGTTTTCAAAACACTAAAGCAAACAAACAGCATACATGTATACAGACATATCATCTTCATAGCAATATTTTTTGATTACGAAAACAAAAAAGTCATTGAATTCTGAACACAACTCCATATATTGTGCTACTTATTCTGTATTATTTCTAAAATGTTCGCATTATTTTGTCCGCAAATTTAGTTTACATATTCATTTTTTTTTCCAAGTATGTGACTTCTACTTAATATATATACTGAATTATTTGAGATGTATTTACTAAATAACAAAAGTCTATTCGTCTATATCGTTAACATGGTTGCCCTCTTCGAAAATATATGCTTTATATATACAATTCGTTTTTACTAAAGCCGGTCGTCAAAGCTCTCCTATAAGAACTCTTTTGAGCCGGCATTTGGTAAAAAAAAATGTTCTCAATAAAAAGACTTTTTTCGCGGTCTAAAAATAACCGCTAAAAAGCATATTCTGGAACTAAGGTCGGTTTCCGAAGATATGGTTCTTTTTTTAACAATTACTTCATTCATTAACATTTTCATAATTTTTATACGCAAATCACATTATCAGAGCAGAAACGTTAACATACATGTATGTAAGCTATAATTGTTTTGTTTGTAACGTTTAAAAAATAAGTATTAGAAACTATTCCTGATAAGTATTCACACACAGTTAGCCAGGCGTTTTTGTTGCCTTTCCTTATTTTTTTTTTTAGAATTGTAAATTTAGTTCGCACGTCTGCTTTAAAAAATCCTCAAGCTTACTTTCGAAAATCTCACTAAATTAGTTCAAGGGCCACAATGGTAGGTAGATGAAAAGAAAACAATAGTAAAATGTAAAGTGTTTTTTAAAAATGAATTTGAACGTCCGAAATCGCTCATATGGATCTTTAAGACATGATTCTTCAAATAGTATATATTTTCGTTACGTTTGCCTTTGATGATGTAAGATATTCGTTATGCGTCACTTCATTTGTGACATTAATAGGTATACTAGGTTCGTGCGCACTGGATATTGGTTGGTATCGGACCACTATGTAACGTCGCATTTTGAAAAATTGATATTTGAAAAATATTGCAATTTTTATTGGTGAGAGTCGTTATATGGCAGTATATCGTCTTTCTAAATAGATGTGAAAAAGTTGAATCGAAGAAACCGTTTTGTTTGAAGCTCTCGCATATAGCTGTTTCTTGGAAAACTGAATCTTCATATGGTAAAATATTTTCAATGTGTCCTGATGAAAAATTATTCTATAGTAGTAAGTTGACAAAGAAATCAACGTTACCGTTGGACCACGTAGGTCTATAAAGATCTCATGAAATGTAAGCCTTTCTGCAGCAGAAATGTCTCAATTTTGATATTTTCTAATCGAAATTGATATGTAAGAGTAATTTCATATAAGGCTTAGCAGTATCGAATTTAGATCAAGTAGGTCTTTTTGTTTTTAATTACATCGCGTTCTCATCAAAAATGATCTTTTATATGTTAAAAAGATCAAACTTTTTATTTTATATTGAAATTTGGTTTTTTGTTATGAAAATTGGTCGACAACAGTAATTTGACATATAAAAATTTTGGAATGCATACCATATAAAGGATGCCATGAATAGTAAGCCCTTTTGCAAAAACATTTAATTTCTGGTATTTCATAATGCAACTTAGTACATAGTAGAAATTTGGCATAAAAATTGACTGTAAGAAATTTGAATCACATATGTCAATTTTGTATATCCCATTATATGTAGGAATCTGGTCTATTTAGGATGACTTTCTGTATTGATCTAAGCTTGTGTGCCCCTCTGTCTGACTGCCCGTCTGTAGGTCGCAATTATGGACATATTTTAATGAGATTTGGTGCATTGACATCTTTTGCCCCAATAAAGAACGCAATTGAAAGTGGTTTAGATCGGATCTGGCTTTTCAGGCCACTTTCCATATAATGCCTTATCTTGGGAACTCATTATATGAGTAATTCTATTAGTCGAAATGGTGCAGGGTGGCTCTGGCCCACTGTAATACTTTCACTTGTTTTACTTAACTTGTATCTGCCTAAATATTATGAGCTACGCTGTCTAACTAGCACTTTTAACTTCTAAAATGATCCAGAAGATTGTTGCATCAATCTTTTCGAAACAATTCTCCAAACACCATTTAGTTTGCCTTCTATTCTGGTAATACAAGGTTTTTGTTTTATTTACCCACAATTTATCAGTAAATTATATGAAATATCCACAGTTTAGAAGAAGAAGGTTTTACTTATTCTAACAAAATGTAATAAGTAGTATACATAGAGAAAAAAAAGGAGAGAAAATTCAAACTGAGTAGAATTAAATGTTGACGCACTTATTTCTATGATGTATTTGCCTATTGGATGTTTCGTTCATTGTTGCTTAAAGCTATTTTATGGTATATGCTATAAATATCTTTTTTTCACGTTTCTCTTCCCTGCTTAATAATAAATAACAAAAAGTCATAAACGGAGAAAGCGGAAGTAATGGCACTCAACAGAAACAACTCTATTATCATGGCTCTTCGTAGTCATTCTATTTCACGCTATAAATCGATATACAGCAACTTTGAAAAAAGTCCCTTACGATAGACTTACAGCACAAATAACATTTCTGAACATCGTTCGGCAAACATCCGCAAATCATTTTCTTCATATTTTCTATGCTCTCATTGGTGTTTCATATGTTGGAAAACCAATGCTGGCGCCAACCATTTCGTAAATCCACATTCTGCCAGTTACAGAGATATCACCAGATGTAGTGCTAGTGTCGAAACTAAACGTACGTCATTTGCCTGCATGTTTAAAAATATATCTATATCTTGTGGCAAATCTTATCAGTACAATACGGTATATGCCGTATGTATATGATGATCTGTCTTTGGTTAAATATTGGCTGTTTCTATCTATGAGAGTTTGGGGGTAAATACATTTTGTTAAAACGTTCGCATCACTCTGAGGGATGCTTCAGATACCACGACATAAGGTTTACATGTCCTTTGTCGGTAGGGACTTTTAATTTGATTGAAGCATCTCGGTCTATCGGTTTGCGCAATACGTTTGGTAAATATTCACCGAATCGCTATAAAATATAGGCCTCAAATTTGGCGAAACTACTGGATGTTCGTGCATGCAGGCAACAGACAACGAAAATGGATGCATAAGTATATTAGACTCGATGTAATTAAAGGTTTCACACAATATCACTTGGAATGGGCATCACGATCTACCCCAAAGGAAGTAATTCAATTTCAGCTTCGGTTAATATCGGAATTTCTTGAATTAAATTACTCATGAATATAAACGGATAGTTTGATATGTTGTCTAGTCCGCAGTCCCGTATCTTGTTGAAATCAGATGTTACATGGATCAACATAGGGCATAAAAAATTGGTTAACATCGATGAACAGTGATCACTATCCACGGTAATGGGATCTCCATTCTCACATCATCAGCGTAAACACCACAGGAAATTATTACTTTTACGCAATATAAAGGAATATTCTTGTAAATAATGTGTGAGTTTGCTCCGTATCTCAGTCATTTCGATCGAAATATGTCTTATCTAAGAAAGTGATTTTTTATGTAAAAGATGCAAAGTGTTGCACAAAATTGTCATATCGACGTAGAATTTGGGTAATTTTCAAAGCTTACTGAACACTGCTAATAAATTCAAAATAATTTATATTTTTTAAGTATGATCCGAAGAAGAAATCATATTAGTGCTTTTGAAAAGCCCTAACCAATATACTTGCAGTGACCATTATAGAAGATTGCTGGTAAATTAAGTTTGTCGCGAAGAAATATCTGGAAGATGAACAACTTTATATTTCGTTTGGAAACTAGGTAAAGTGTTACGATGTGGCAAGAGCAGTCAATAAATAACCTGCAACACTTTCTAAAGCATTTTTGTGAGCAATAACGCCTTTTATGTTAGCAGTGATCGGATAAACGTATCGATCCAATCCACATTCATCGAAATATCTGAAAAATCCTGCAAGGATTACTAAATTTGCGAAGAGACGACGGACAGACAGATATCAATCAATTTAAGAAGTGTTCAAAAGTCGATTGTTATAATAAAAAAAAGTATATTTGGATGCTTCACTTGCCAAATCGATCAACTCCATAAAACAAGAAGTTGAGAAAAATGATAAAATATTATAAATAAATTATTTATTATTCCGTCGCTAAAAGGATTTTGCCATTTAGTGGTGTCAACACTTATTATTGGAGAAATTCGTTTTGAATATGTGCAGTTAGGAGCTGTGAGGTGCTTTGATGCTAAAATTTAATAAAATTCCAAAAATGAAGTTAATCAATTGGGCAAGTGAAGCATTCATTTGTCTCAATTCATTGTCGATATTGCATGCATATGCATCCATATAAACTGAATATGCTCTGTCGACGTTTGATGTGGGCTCTCTCACAATGTATAATATTTGGTGTATAATTATTTAAGCAATGTATAGTAACGTATTTGATGGTCGGTCTTGCCCGACTATAGCATTCTTACTTCGTTTCAATTATATTTCTTGCAGATTTTTTTATTACATTTATTACAGACGATCTTACTTCTATTTTAAATTTATCTGGTTTATTCGGCATATATTGAGCAGATGGACATGTCAGCTAAAGGCTGAGAACAATTGCTCATCGACTGTGACGTCTGCGCCAGGTTTGCTGTTCTCATTACAATCTTCCTGCACTTTATTACTTAGTCAGTCAATTTGACTCACATCTGTCAAAATAGGTATAGTGCAAGTGAATTTTACGAATTAAAGGATGCGAAGGGAAAGGAATTAGTATTGGTCTAGATTTCATAAATTTATTAAAAACCAATACATGTTTTTGGAGAAATTATTTTAGCAATCTAGTGTTAATTGGAGTGATTGGATTCAGTAAATTTTAATTTTTTTGATAAACCTATTTGATGTGCCTTTCGACCCCTTAAACTGCAAGTAATATGTCGCACAACTCTTTATATAAAAGTTTTCTACGGCTACGCCTATAATCGAATACAAACATTAAGGCATAAGTAATAGATTTCTTTGAATAGATAGACAATAGACGATCATGTGCGTATGCATCGAATTGTCATTCGATCGGTAGTTACAAATATGAATATTTCGAAAGGCGTCGTTATCGTCGATGTTACTGGAATGATAATAAATATCGTTCTAAAACTGGATGCAAACATTAACAAATACACGATCTATAGTTTCTGTCCGAGTTCTTGGTGTGGTGGGTGTAGGTGTGTGGTTAAGATCTCTCCTCTACTTTTGGCATCGAGAATGGTTTAACAAAGAAATATAGACAAGTCTGTCTGTCATCAATTTGACATAGATTATTCTGTCGGTGGTAAGACACTTCCATATAAATCGCGTGAGTTTTACGATTCGTTTGTCTTTGGTAACATATAATAGCAGAGTCAAACTTCATGTCAATATTTTTAGCAGTGTTTCGCTTTTCGTTTTTATTTCTTCAATGCGGAGTTAAAGGGATCCGGAAGTTTTTCTTGAACTTTGCACTCACCCAGAAATCAGAGGATAAGGCGGCTACAAAACCCTATAACTTGGGTAGGTCTTGAAAAAGTCTCGCACAACCAATGCACTGTAAAAAGAGACTTTATCCAAACAAAAATTGTTTGACTATAATTTTAGTGCATAACTTCACGAAAACGACGCAAAGTGTTTTAATAATATTCCATGCTTACAGTTTGTCCGATGGAGTTGTGCACAATTCAACTCTGTCACAATAATAGAGACAGAAGACGTCGAAAGGTATGGTTTTTTTTTGCAAGATCGGGAGCATGCTTGAGCTGATTTGATATTCATAATTTAATGCAAGTGAAAACTGTATAGTACCGCAAGGCCAGACTGAATATCTTTATGTTTTCAAATTTATTATGCTTTGCATAACTATATCGTAATATACCAAAAATTAGACCTGGTTACTCAATGAAGGTCTACTACTCATAAAAAACTTCATATGCGAAAAATAGATCCATCTACGTGGTACTAGCTTATTATAGTTATTATTTTCATATGAAATTACTTGGACTAATTTTTATCATAAAATGCTAAAACTTGGCTGTTATTGGCATATGAGGGCTTATTTTTTATAAGATCGTATAAGGAAAAGGCCAAATAAAACGCTCCAGCCGATCTTAGCTTTTCACTTTCATATAATAAGCAAAGATACTATTATTTACCAATTTTTGTCGAGAAATATTAAAGATCGTAGTCCTTTTTATATAGGATGTTTTATGGAGGCGTGCGTGGGGAGAGCGGTTGTAAAAATGATCCGATTCAGTATATATTCTGTTCGTCGTGGAGCTGAAGTGTGTAAGTGCATCGAATCTCGAGAAATTATATTGAAAATTTCGTTCTGGACAGACATGCTTAAATCAACGCAGAAAATAACTCCAAGTCGGTTATTTTAACAAAAAGTCTATCTACATCCATTCACGCACTTGTTGTTATAAAACGTAGTAAGGGATACAAATAAAACTTATAATTTTTCGTAATTATGTATGAATCCTTGAGCAAAAAACTTAGTTAATTCCCATTTATGAAGTAAAACCGAAAGTAAGAAAAGAAGAAATTTGAGACCGAATGTTCCTTTGTCGCTATATAGATGAACAGACGCATATGAGTAAATTGATTTTATTATTCACGTCGACCAAGACCTTCCTTTCACGCGATGGCATAAAATTGAACGATATAAAAATATAAGTGGAGTAAAATCCCATTTTTTACATTTTGGATACTCATGATCCGTAGGTTCAAAAATTAGTTCATTAAAATATATAGTGATATTTTCCGCCAGAGATCCGGGCGATTTGCGTGATCCTCATATTATTGAAAGAAAGTATAAAATAAGTAAACCATGAAAGAATAGAAGAAATAACTGAATGAAAATTTTTAATGCGTTTCTACCAGTTATAGCCTGAAATTATAAATATTTGAATATAATTTATTATATGCTTCTCGATTATTTGCAGCAATGTACGATCGCCCAAAAGTGAAAAGAAAACTCGCGGTTTATTTCGGCGAACAGAAACTGCGAGCCTTTATTTGGAGGACGGTCTGAAACCGAAATATCCAATATTTGGAGCAGCGCTTGATCAATTAGAATTGAATCAGACTACGTATCCGAACGTGCCGCGATTTGTAGTCGATTGCGTGGAATACATTGAGAATAAAGATCGTATTGTGCAAGACGGTCTATACAGAGCGTGTGGCAATAAATTTTCTATAGATGAGTTAAAGCAAAAATTAACTGAAAGTTATATATACGATCCGAAATTACTAATAGCCGACGATATACACACTATAACGAGTTTACTAAAGCAATTCTTTCGTGAGCTGGGTGCTCCGTTGATACCGCAAGAAATATACGAACGCTTAGGACGTAATCTTAGTGATGAGGAGGGAATCGAGACGATACGTAAAGCATTTGAAGATATGAAAGAACCAAATCGTTCAACCTTAACATTTATTATTAAACATTTAACCAAGTAAGTGAACCTGTGATTTACTTACTAAAAATATTTATTCATTTTGTTTTAATCTTTTTTATCTTTCGTTTTTTATTTTTAATTTTATAGTGTTGCTGCCTTTAGTTCCTCTAATCGCATGAATGCTTCCAATTTGGCTATTGTTTGGGGCCCTTGTTTATTATCCGCCAGTCAAATCGACTTCGATATTGGACGCATGAATACCTTCGCCAAAGTATTAATAGAAAATTATGAACATGTCTTTAGCCCAGATACTAATGAGCGTTTAGTCTGCTAATGTGTAAGCAGTGGATCGCTAATGTTTCTTCCCAGCATTAAAATGCACGCGATTTTATTTACGATAAGAAAAGTGCTTTAAATGATGAAATTTATAAAATTATACCAAAAATTTAAATATCTAGAAAAAAAGACAACTTATGTAAAATCTCTCTTAAGCATAATTATACTTGAATGCATGTTATCTGCATACAATATATGTTATAATAAATAATATAGGTTATGAGCAATTTTTCTCTTAGATTTCATTAACACTGCATTGCCTTAATATTAATAAAATAAAATAAAAAAAAAAATTCATAGAAAGTGCGAAATACCCGATCTCGCATGCCTATCCACTCTCACTCTCATGTATATTTATTATAAGTTATGTTAGTTGTCTTGTTTTTTTTTAATTCTTTTATATATTCTGTTAATGTGATAACTTAGATATTTAAGACTGCGAATAGTTAGTTATGTAACATATATGTATTTGCAAATTTATACTCATATTCGAACATACTTTGTGGATATAAACACATATGGAGGTGTACGATATAATTCTTTTACTGCTATCACAATACAATTTAATTTAAATCGATTTTAAACAACATAGATGTATAAACGAACACTCTTTATATGCAAAACAAAATATTGAGATTTTTAATCTAAATGATGATAATGCATACATTCACTCCAAAGGAGATGGAGATGGAGATGGACATTTTTTTTTATAGAAAGTCCGCAATCGAAGTTGTAAGGGGTTGGTGGTAAGGATGAGGTGAGTAAAAGGACTATCTTCGCTACACGTCGCATCTTATATGAATGCTTCACTTGCCAAATCGACTAACTCCATAAAACAAAGAGTTGAGAAAAATGATAAAATATTATAAATAAATTATTTATTATTCAGTGGCTAAAACGATTTTGCCATTTAGTGGTGTTAACACTCATTATTAGAGATATTCGATTTGGATATGTGCAGTTAGGAGCTATGAGGTGATTTGATGCTAAAATTTAATAAAATTCCAAAAATGAAGTTAATCGATGTGGCAAGTGAAGCATTCATATATTGGCTGAGTAATGGTGGCTACAGCGCATCAGTTAAAAGGCGAAGGAGGTCATTATCGCATTGCCGAAAGAATAACAACAGCATTGTTTATTTTTTTTTTTTGTCTAACGACTTAATTCTAAATTGTTATTGTGCACCTAGTTCTGCAAAGACGTAAACAAGATCACCGTGATAGTGTGGGTTTAAGTCCCCACTGCGACAAACCATTCCTTGGTCGTAGCTATAGTGAGTGTTTAGTCGGTAAAGCCAGGACACTTATTGATTTGGCACATACGCACTACATTGCGCCATTTCCCAATTTCTTTCTCTTTTCCCTCACCTCTCTGACAGTCACCGTATTAGACGAACAGGGCACATCCCGTGGGTGATTGGTCCCATAAAACAAAAATAAGTTACAGTTGCTTTAATGACACTACTCCACTCGGCAGACGCGTGGTTTGACTATGGAGTGCACTGACGAACACATTTTCATCGAAAGCGTCAAGCAGCGAACCGCGCCATCAACAAAGTGAGCCAAAGCTTTCTCATGAACAAATATTCACGTAAAGTAGTAAACACGCTGTCTTCTTGCATTTTTAAGATCTCAGATATCTCGCGAAACTTCACGTTCCTTCCTTCCTTCTAAAACGATTTTGTGCACTTTTTTCATGGTTTTTCGAACAACTGCCGAACTGCCGGGCGAGCAGAGTATTCATTGTCATCGGTGTTCATATGACTATGCTTAGAATTAGCAAGCCACCCGCAAACTTATTATTACTTTTTTTTATTTGACAAGAGTCGCCGTACTATCTTTCAAGTCAACGCTGAGTGTGACCTATATTTTTTGTTATGAAAAAAAGAATTTTCCATTGTTCTGAAAATTACAAAAGCACAGATGTCACTGGAACAATTGTAATTTGTAAACTAATATTATAGTAAGAAGATCATGAAATCAGAATTGATATGGGTCTGTCAGCATTCATTTCAAAAAAGTGCCAGACAGGAGATTTATTGAGTAATGCGTAAGTTGGAATGTGTTTTCTCCATTCCGTATAATAAATGAATTAGAAGTCCAGACAAAGTGAAACTAGCTGTTATACAAGTTGAATGAAAAGTGCGCGTGCACGGATCACATGAGTGTCTCGAACAAAGGCTAATAATAACTTTGCTGATTCAAAATTTCAGTCGTCAATTATGTTTTTAACATGTCAACACATGTACATGGCGCCAGATGTCGCCCATAAAATTCACAAACACAGCAGTCACAGTCTTTTTTAATGTTATTATGGTACGTTCGCAAACTGGTCGGAGCTGGCGGGAACCCGCCATTCGAAAGACAAATTTCGAGTTTGCCGTTGTACCATTTGCTAACGGATTTGTACAGACATATCTATGTTCAGAATTGTTGCTTACCTCATTGTAAGATTTTGAAAACTGCACTTTTCACGTAAGACTGTCCTAAATCCTTGTCAAGGTATTTTACTTTTTTCATTAACATTTATGCTCTTACCGTAATAACGTCATAAAATGTGCCACTGTTTTTTGCATTACTTTATATCCTGCGGCCGAATATAAGACCTCATTTACCGCAAACGTATGAGCCTCAAAAATCAGTTATGTTTTCATTGAGATTTGTCACTATCCGCGTGCTGTAGGAACCGGTACATTCAGTTTTTTGTAAAAACAAAAAAAAAAAAAAATGCAACAAAATTTGCAACAACAAAGCGTAAGATAAACGATATTCGGCTCTTTACATACTTATCTTCTTTGTTTCGTTTGGCAGTCGCGACTACCGTATCCTACGATTTTATATAAGCGCCGATCACTGTACCTGAGCTAACTTCAAAGCATTGCCCTCAAAATGCACAAGTAAGTTGCTTGGTGGCCGGTGCGTTTACATTTATCGTAATTTCGAGCATTGTCGTAATTTCAGCTAAAATAATATATTAAATAAAATCAGTCTCTCATCAAAATCTCAATTTCAGTGAAATTATATTAAAATCCAGTTTGCCGGAGTAGAAAAAACGAGACGATTTCCCTGTTTTGGTGGCAGATTAGTGGTCGAATAAGCAACCTTGCTCCATTTTCGTTTATTAACAAAAAACTTTTTGTACCCTACACCATTTCTGGTGCACAGTATATTAAGTTTGTGCGCACGTACGTTAAACGCAGAACCGCGTAAGATAAACCCATCCTTTATTGTACCAATCGTTTCAGGATCCATTTCTAATTCGATCTAAGTCTGTCTGTCCGTCTATCCACCTAATGCCTATCCATATAAATTTGTGTTGAAGCTACAGGTAGCAATTTTCAAGATGTTTTGATAAAATTTGGTACACTGACGTGTTTTGATCCCAGTACGAACACTATTGAAAATAGTTTGGTTCGGTCCATTTTTTCGACCACTTCTTACATAACGCCCTACATTGAAAAGTCGTTAAATGGCGAATATTGCGAATATCTCGACATAAGTTGCTAAATAATAATGTTTCGATATTCGAAACTGGTATGAAAACTTTGGACAGGCTGTGGTCTTCCGAAAATCAGATCATAATGGTAATTTGAGATAAAAAACATTAACTGTACCAAATTTGGACAATCTCGGCTTTTTTTTTGTAGCCTACTGTATATACAGATTTCCGCAAAAATCGGTACTTTCTAGTCTATATTTTTAAATGTTATGACGAAACATAACCCATAATAGTCAAAGGTCATTGTACCAAATTTTTTTGGTACCACTTACGACTGCCTATTTTTGCATCCTACCCTATATAAGAATTTTTACAAAAATTGATCCTTCTTGGGACCGAAAAGTCTAAGTTTTATTATGTCTGGATGAAAATTGACCCATAATACTAATTTGATAAAAGAATTACCTTGTGTTGGATTTTGAACTTCTTGGTCACAACAATTTTTTATTTGTAAAGCGATGTAATTTTTAACATACGCGTCCATAATGGAAAATTAAAATAAAAACGGAGTACAAGTTTTGTGTTCTCGTGCAAAAATAAGAATTATGCTTGACAATGTGGTGTAGAGTATTTAATAGCGGTCTAGCCCGGCTATAATGTTTTCACTTGTTATTTTAAAGTTTTTCTTTATTGTTCGTGATTGGCGATATGTTTGTATATAAATGAGAACAATTAGTTTTTGAGCGGAAATCAAGCTCTTCATGATTTGTGTACAATGTAAACTCGAGTCATTTCAAGTGAAATGATTCAGCGAAATCAATTAAATTGCTCTCAGTGTAAACGCTTTGTTCTCAAACAAGAACTATACAGTTATACCCTACACCACTTGTGGTGCAAAATATATTATATTAAGTTTGTGCGGATGCAATAGCGGGAAGAGTTTCATGTATACTCGCCTTTTCAATTATTGAATTGACTTAAGCTTATCTGTCCGTTCGTCCGCTCTCCTTGCACTTTCGTGTTCAATCAGTACATTGACATGTTTTGGCCCAAGGCGGTACGCAATTGAGAATATTTCGGATGGGAGCACTTTTTCGATCACTTCCCACAGAACGCTTACTTTAAGAAGTCTTTATATGAAGTGAAGTGGTGTACGGTGTATGGTAATGCTTTTATTCGTTTTACTATGATTTGAAATAAATTCAAGCACGAATGTCTATGTTTTTTTATTGTAGGCTTTATTTCATAGCATTTTTAATTAAAAATGATTTCAGGAAAATAATTGCGTTTGGACTTTTTTAAAATGCGCTTTTGGGTAGCAAATTTCTAGGCACTTTTTACATCAATGAAAGGAACAGGAAACCCCTGAAGTTTACCGTCTACATTTTGATGGCTTAATGGGACGAAATGTATTGATTTAGAAGTTAAAGACAAGGCAATGGACTGTCAGATATGAAAGCTGAAAGGGAATGGTCAAAACATTCTCCTTGTAACACGGCAGGGTCTATTTACAATAACCATTATTTAATCTCCCCGTATTTGGAGTGATCCCTAAAATGACACTTTTCGAAGGAATTTACTCAGCAGTCAGCAACTCTGTCGAAGTCAGGCTTTCGGCGTCTCGGCTTCCGGACTGATTAGTAGAGAAGTCTGTAAGCAGACGATACCTGCTACTCTCGATAACTTCTCCACTGTGAATTCCCGTCGCTGAAAAAGTCAAGAGCAATGTTAAGTTTATTAGACTGAAGTCGTTGTTTTCTAGGAGCAGATTTGACCATAGAGAAAAAAAAAACAAAGAGGTTTATATCTCGGAAAATTTTTGGTGGCCACTTCTAAACGTCAAAGTTCGGAGATTTTATTTTTTCACTTTTATTTATTAATTATTAAGCAATTATACACCAGATCCATACTTACATACATAGTTATTGCTAAAGAATTTTATTATTATTATTTGTCTTTTAAAATTATTATTTTAACTCAATAAATTAATGCAAAGCTGTAGCAAATTGCAGCGTTCTGTTGAACTCACGTGTCTTCGGAATCGAAATTGTATAACTTATGTCAGAAACTGCATTGTTGCATGTTTTGTTTCTATAATATTTGCCATTCATGGCGGAAAGTAACGTGTAGACCAAACGGCAAGATATTGCACGGATATTAAGTTTTAAGAAATATTAAGTTTAAATAGTT